GAATTGGTTACCCCCCCCATCTTTTGAGCAATGGGGCCCAAGAGGCCTCCCAGACCTCTCCAATGAAACCCAAGAGGGCCTCGAACGCCCAAAATGAGCCCCAAGAGGGTCCCAAGAGTGACCCAAGAAGCCCCACAGGGGAACCCAAGAGAGCCCCTTAAGATGGACTCAATCGTGCTTCAAAAACCTCTCACAACAACATATCCAAAGCCCGACTTCTCATCCTCCTTGTCATCGTCCGTTCCTTCCCTCCTCCCTCCCTGCCTCCTCCCTCCTCCTCCTCCTCCTCCTCCTCCTCCTCCTCCTCCTCCTCCTCCTCCTCCTCTCTTCCTCCTCCTCCCTCCTCCCCTCCCCTCCTCCTCTCCTCCTCCTCCTCCTCCCCTCCTCCTCCTCCTCCTCCTCCGCCTCCTCCCCTTCCTCCCTCCTCCTCCCCTCCTCCTCCTCCTCCTCCTCTCCTCCTCCCTCCTCCTCCTCCTCCTCCTCCTCCTCCTCCCTCCTCCTCCTCTCCTCTCCTCCCTCCTCCTCCTCCTCCTCCCTCCTCCTCCTCCTCCTCTCCTCCTCCTCCTCCTCCTCCTCTCCTCCTCCTCCTCCTCCTCCTCCTCCTCCTCCTCCTCCTCCTCCTCCTCCCCCTCCCCCCTCCTCTTCCTCCTCCTCCTTCTCCTCCTCTTCTTCTTATTCGCAGCATGTGGATTAGCATTCTCATTTGTAGATGTACTAATAACCATGTGTTGCTAATTAATGGTACGACTGTTAGTCTCATTATTAGGTTTACTCGTATTATTTATAATATTATGAATAGACGTATGGTTAGTATTATCATGAGTAGTAGTAGGTAGGTAGGTAGGTAGGTAGGTAGGCAGGCAGGCAGGCAGGCAGACAGGCAGGCAGGCAGGCAGGCAGGTAGGTAGGTAGGTAGGTAGGTAGATAGGTAGGTTGGCTAGGCTAGCTAGCTAGGTAGGTAGGTAGGTAGGTAGGTAGGTAGGTAGGTAGGTAGGTAGGTAGGTAGGTAGGTAGGTAGGTAGTAGTAGTAGTCGGATGCTTGATCGTCTTATTATTCGTAGCATAAGTGTTCGTATTACTGTTTTGTGTCTTATGATGTTTTCATTCGCATTACTAGTCGTGTTGGTGTGATCCGTCTTCTTACTAGTCCCACTAGTTTCATTATTCATAATAGTTTTGGCATGATTGATGCAGTGTTAGTAGCAATGGTCGGTTTGTCCCCGCTACTATTCTTAGCATTCGACGTCGTATTACTCGTCTTAGTGGTTTTCTCAATAGTCGCCGTCGTCGTCTGAGTCGTATTACTGTTCTTGTGTTTCGTAATAGTATTGTTCTGTGCAATATTAATCGTATTAGTCTGTTTCATAGTTGTATTATTCGTCGTCTGGAGAGTATTATTCTTGAGTAGTCGTAATACTACTCTCATTAATAGGTATCGTCATCCTCCTCTTATTCGTCTTAATAGTATCCGTATTGTTATGACTAGTATTCGTATTCGTCTTCGCCTTCTTCTCCTTCCTCCTCCTCCTCCTCCGCCTCCGCCTCCGCCCCCGCCTCCACCTCCTCATCATCATCATCATCATCCTCCGCCTCCGCCTCCGCCTCCGCCTCCGCCTCCGCCTCCGCCTCCTCCTCCTCCTCCTACTCCGCTGCTCCTCCTCCGCCTCCTCCTCCTCCTCCTCCTCCTCCCCCTCCTCCTCCTCCTCCGCCTCCTCCTCCTCCTCTTCCTCCTCCTCCTCGTCCTCCTCTTCCTCTTCCTCGTCATCATCCTCCTCCTCCTCCTCCTTCTCCTCTTACCCCCAAGATGGTCCGAAGAGGTCGAGCATGGCTCAAGATAGCCTCCGACAGGCATCCAAGAGGCCTCAGGGCGGCCTCAAGATGGCCCAAGATAGCTGAGCATGGCTCAGGATAGCCTCCGACAGTCTCTAGCCGAGCATGGCTGAAGATAGCCTACAGGAGACCTCAAGAAAGCCTCCGATCGTGTGGATTGGCTGATGGGGATGCTTTTTTTGGTTGGCGGCTCCGAGGCGGCGGACAGGGAGCGGTGGGCGCTGATGGGGATGCTCGAAGCGTCAAGAATTGCAACAAGGGACCTAAACGCCAGAATGCCTGCGAGAACCCGTGGGACAGGGGGCAGAGCGGGCACGAGGAACGAGGAGGGAAGATGAGGAACGAGGAGGAGGACGACGAAGAGGAACAAGAAGAGAGGACAAGGAGAGGGACGAGGGAGGACCGAGGAGCAGGCGGCGGAGGAGCGAGGAGCAAGCGAAGAGGAGGGGGCGGAGGAAAAGGAAGAGGAGGAGAAGGAGGAGGAACGGCAACGGAGGAGGAAGAGAAGGAAGGAGGCACGAGGACGAGAGAGGCGGAGGCGGAGGAAGGGGAGGAGGACCAGAGAGCGAGGACGAGGAGGAGGAACGACGAGCGAGCAGAAGGAGGGGAGAGCAGCAGTGAGGGCGAAAGAGGAAGGAAGGGGCAGGAAGCGCGAGGACGAAAGGGGCACCTCCATAGAGACGCTGCACCTGGCCATGGGGCACCAGGACGGCTCCGTGCAGCTGGCCTCACTTCTGGCCTCCGCTCCCGTCCGCTCGATCTGCGCATCGACGCCATCGGCGTCGTCGTCGGCATCGCCGTCGCCGCCACCGCCAAGTGGAGAAGGCGGAGGGATGAGAGGAGCTCCTCCTTCTTGGCTGCGCGACCATGGGGGAAGCGAGAAGGAGAAGGCTTTCTCAGAGGGCTCGGGAGTTCCCCGGATTTCTGAAAAGTTCTCCTAGCCTTCCCCGCAGACACAAACACTTCTCAGGAGGCCAGAGGCCTTCTGAGAAGTCCCGCCGCCTTCTGAGAAGGCCTTCTCCTTTGAATTTCCCCCCCTCGCTCGCCTCCGATCCTTCAGCTCCTACCCCTTCCTGCCCAGGGAAGAGGAGGAGGAGGAGGAGGAGGAGGAGGAGGAGGCAAAGGAGGAGGCGGAGAAGGGGAGATGACAAAGAGCAAAGGCACAAAATCTTCGAAGGTGCTTACCAGTTTCATGAAATCTCCAGTGCCCTCTTGCTGCTGCTCCTCCTCCTCCTCCACCTCCTCCTCCTCCTCACTATCCTCCTCCCCCTCCTCCCCCCCCTCCCCCTCCTCCTCGTCCTACTCCTCCCCCGCCGTCATCCCTCCCTCCATCCCTCCTCGCCACTCGCTCCTCAAAATACTACGACGACGCCGACGACGACGACGAAAGCTACTACCACTGCTACATATTCTACGACTACTACTACGACTACTACTACTACTACTACTACTACTACTACTACTACTACGACTACTACTACTACTACGACTACTACGACGACTACTAACTACTAC